CTGAGGGACAGTTGATGCGACAGCAGGTGGGGTAAGGAGCGCAGCGCCGTGTTCCTTGATGGTCTTCAGGCAGTTAAGCATCTCCTGGAAAAGCAGGGAATGGGCATCTTGTGCCTTCCTCACCTTACCGAGGTCCATCCGGAGCAGACCAGTAATTAACGGGGTTGCCTAGCTTCCCACCCGTTGTCTCCCTGCCGCTTGTTGCAAAGGAGCAGAGTGATCGCCTGCCATGGCGACCTGATCCCTCTTTCGATTGTCTACATTCTCGCCATTCTTTCCACCCTCCCATCCTTGGGAGGTTTTTCTATTTTCTCTGATTTCTACCAATCCTTCGTGCTAGATTCACCGGAGGCGCCTTTCTTCTTCGCCTCCATCTCCTCCATTTGCTTCCTAACGAGCCGTGTCATTCTCGCATCCTGCTCTACTTCCTTCTTTTCTTCAGCCTTGGCACGTCGCTCGTCTTCTTCCCGTGCCAACCTTGCTTGCTCCTCTATGTTTCGCTGATCCTCTTTTTCCCGTCGTTGTTCTGTCTCTTCGCACCGATCGTTCCATAGCTCCCGTAAGATCATCATAGCCTCGCCTTCCGATCCTACGTCCCTTGGTCTGTTCCATCCCCGACCATTCGTTCCGCCGAAAGCCCCGCGAGGTGGCTGGTATGGGACGATCGCAGTTGAGGCTACCGGAGCGATTGCGTTGGAGGAAGCCGCAGCTGGAGCCTGCAAGAGCGGAGGTTGCAGACCTTGCACATTCATTGGCTGAGACGAAGGAGGGGGAAGTGTTAGCGGAGCAGATGAGAGAGGAGGGGCCGAGGAGAGAAGGGGGGCTGATGGAGCGTGGGGGCCATGAGGCCCGTTAAAGATCGGGCGGCCGTGGGCGTACCCGCCATCTTGTCTAGTCTGCCCAATACCGTAGCCCTCACTGCGAGGAGGGTATGGGCACCATCTTGCGAAATGACCATACATCCCGCAGTTACAACARTTTCGATTGAAGYCACCTRCTTGYCCTCCATCCGCCATTAGATACGCACGTTAAAACTTCGAAAAGCCAAATAATATGAATCGTAAGACAACTATTCAGCAGGAGGGGAGAGGGGTGTGGACTAAGGAAATAGGAGAAAACGGACAAGGGGGAAAGGAGAAAGAACGGGAAATACAAATAGAGACGAAAGAAGAAAATAAGAAAAGGTACGGGATGATGAGTGTACGGGCACCGAGAACTCCAAAAACTCGATACGGCCWATTGATCGTTGATGCGTTGGCGTTTCCACCACACCATGAATCGCACGGTGGTTAAGACGCTACTCGAAGATTGGGATGAGAGTCACGACGACTCAAAAACTTTATTGGCCAATGGAATTACTTATGCTCATAGACACATTCAGGTGAGAGAGAGGGAGAGGGAGAGAGAGAGAGAAGGGGGGGAAAGAGAGCAGTGATGACGATGAGCAGAGGAGGAAGGTGGTAGAGACAAGAGAACACTCAAGTAGCGCAAAAAATCGCTTCATTAAGGTAAATCATGAAAAACCGAAGCGTAGCGGTGAGACTTCCCTACATGTTTCGGCTGCGTCGTCGTCGCAGCCATCATCAGGGGAAATTTGCGCTACTTGGCCGTACATCACATGTTATATATACTTGCACTTAATCGTAGCACTTCTCTAATCCTGAAGTATACGACCAATCCCTCGCACGGGAAAGAAGGGGGAGAGAGAGAGAGAGAGAGAGAGAGAGAGAGAGAGAGAGAGAGACGTCAGCCGTAGGAGTCGTCATAAAAGTGCAATGAGAAGAAGGTGCAGAGAATGGTAGCCGTGGTCATCCATCGGGCGGGAGAAGAGAGAACAGGAGTACGTGGTAGCAGAACAGAGGGCAAGCAGATACGATGAACAGAGAGCACGAGTGTAGAAAGCTCAAAAGAAACGCCATGGAGGAGGCGGGAGTCTCGAACGGGGTGGAAGACAAAGGATAMGGAACTTCCAGAAATCCCAAGTAATGCAGGAACGTGGAGTAACCTTCGTGCTGGYGATCGGATCCGGTCGAAGGCGAMAMATGCTGAGTCTCTCTTCGGTAGTTGAGGCGCTGAGCATTCACGGTGCCAGTGTGATATGCCGTGATATCGTTTCGTTGGATAGCTTCCGGCCCTTAGTCCCCATATTCGGAAGTCTTGTCCGTAGGTAGATTTCACATGATTCTTTCCCCGACTGTCATTCCGACCCCTTATCAGACCCTCTGATACTATTCTGACCCAACCCTTCCTGCAGTCCCTGTTTCTTGCAGAGAATTCCTCGGCCGTCTTAAAAAATACTCTCCCAGGGAACCATTTTTTCCTAAGCTCCCTCCTTGGAGAAAGCAGAAATATACCCACTCCTCTGGAATCTGAGGAGTGGGTTAGTACCCTGTTCATAATACCTTWAATMAGTCCTACCTTATTGCTCTTGGGTCCATAAGACCAATAGTCCTGAATCGACAAAAAAACTATACCTTTCTCAGTCCATATTACCTCTTGATTCTTGATGGTAGCCTCTTATCAGACAGCAGGTGGCGAAGTCTGGCACTCCACTCTGCATCCCAAAAATTCCCATATCCCTATCTCTTTCATCGGTTCGCACCAAGTGCAAGTTGTTATCATAAATGGAGGTGAACTGCTTGTAAATACTGCTAGCTTTCTTGAAGGATTTTCTAGATTTGTTCGGCAAGATAATGAAGAGAGCTACATCATCAACCAGTCTGAGACCCTAGATCATTCGGCGGTCATTACCTAAAGAGTTGAGGAAGGTAAACTCATAATGGACACAAACTTGAAGGAGACAGGCAAGAGCGGGGCTAGACGTCTTTCCCATAGGGATGCCAATTTTCTACCTAATGATAAAATTAGAAGCTTTAAAGAAAGTGTTACCCAAGGTCATACATAATAAACTGAATCCCTTCTGCAAATTTCACCCGATGCCATCCTTGTTCCCCGAAAGCTTTACCCGGTGCAATTCCTTTCCCGGCCTTATTAACCATGATTGAGTTGTGCCCTTTCTGCGTTAAGAAATCGCACATTCATTCAACTGCACCCATAATCGCATCGTGCGGGAGTTTCGTAAACATCTCCTTGATGTCAAAACTTGCGGATAAGATCAAGCCGTTCGTTATTGTACTTACTTTGTGGTTCAAGTGAACTATACGTTTCATCAGAAGGTTCGTGCTTTTCAAATTAAAATGAGCGGACTCCGGAATTCGCCATAGGAGGCCATCGATTGCTTTGGACACCAACCTGCATGCTCGGATGCTAAGTTCAGAGTAGGAAGGACCTATAGGTCTCCACCTAGTGACATCCTTGTGCTTGGGAATCCCATATACGGATCCTTGACACCCTCTTTTATTCCAAGGTGCTAGTTTCTGCGCCTGAATCCCAAGGTACCCTTTCCTACATACTTCCGAAACTCCATGTTCCTTTCTGTCATCCACTTCAAAACCCTCACTCTCCCAATATAGCCTACTAAGAGCCGCATGATAAACAGTGGGACAACATACATAGGAATGACCAATATTGTGGTCAAAAGGTGAGACTACCAGGTCTCCTAACTTATCCTTCCATCGAATAACTACATCTTCAGATACTGCCCTGTGCCGTATATTGTTAACGAAGCAGAAAAGAATCATATTTGAACTGCCAACCCATCCATCTTTATTAGGAATATGGGACAGACTCTCAGATAATGCCCGTTTGATCCTTCCAACAGATTGTGGTCTAGAAGGGCAAAGAACGTTCCTCGAGTTGCTCAAACATGTCGGGAGATCGGGCAACTCAGAAAATCTGAAGGCCACACGCCCTTCATTGTTCCTGGGAAAGTTACGATCACTATTAGCACACAAACAACTATCAGAAGAGACTCTGGCCTTAGATCTATGGTTGTGCAATATATCAGCTACGAACTATTCCTGGTCCATACTATTCTGAGTCTTGAAATCAGGAAATCAGCAAGCCAACTGTCAGGGAAACGTCTCCTTATTACTGTTTTGGCCAAATCATTAACCAATGTTTTCCGAAGTTGAGCATCAAAGGTAACTCTCACAACTGTAGGAGCCTGACAACGGAAGCCACACACAGACGTAAGTGCCCTTCCTACTACTCCCTTCGGAATAGTGCGGGACTTATCCCTATGGAACATCTCAATAGAATTGTAGAGTTTTACCAGGTGGTGTAGGCTAGATGTATAGAGACCTCGCCTAGTGCTAGGGACCTGGAGGAGGAAAGCTAACACATTGCGACGTAGACCAGTCATGCATTTTCTTCGTCTTAAGTTAATAATATGGAAGACTCCTCCTTGTAGAAAATTGTGTTTAAGACTCTTCAAAAAACATTTCTGATTCATAAATTTCACAATAGTCCAGCCAAAAAACCTCTGAATTCTACCCCAAGAGTCTAAAAAGGAATCTGCTCCAGTACTCAGCAGATTGACATGCATAACATCATTATCCACAAGCTTATTCAGAATGCTGACAACCGAAAAGGAAGGGGAGGAGGGAGGAATCCATGGTTCAGGGATGGGAAGGGAGATATCCGATGTGTCCAAGCAAAATTTGAACATGACTCCAAGGCAAAAGTTACTTGTATTGTTATTTTACATAACATATAGTTTTTTCAGATTTTTCTGAGAACTTGTGTTTTGTTTTTCTGTTTTTTTTTTTTATGTTCGCGTTCGGAGGGTTTTTGACGCTTGTTCACGTTCGGGCGAACATGTTTGTGTTCGCCTCCGAACGAGAACACGGTGCTACGTAGTTATGTACTTATTTGTTTTTTTTATATGTTGGAATTTGTGTGTGTGCAGTTATGCGAGAACGCGAACATCGATATGCGAATAAGGAAGGCGAGGTCAACAACCACATTATTGACAATATTCACACATTGTATGCGCACTCTAAAACAGTGAAGCAATTGATGCATTTCGTAGGGAAGACTTTTTGTTTATCTCGAGCCAAAGATGCAGAGATGTATCTGTCAGTCGACACATATGTGGATGCCTTTATGAGTCTGATCACATCTTTACACCCGGATACACGACATATTGTAGATCGGTCGATGAAGAGCACAACAACGACAACACTTCGCACATAGGGATCAAGAGAATTGTCGAACATTAGAGGAGTGATTGCTTTCGATATCGTTCGGACATTTTGGAGCGCAGTAGGGCTGCCTTATCCATGCAGAACTGTTAGAGATCGTTTTGAGAAAGAGCGAGAGAGGATGAGGATGAAAATGATAGAAGATTCATCATGGAAAGTAGGATGCAAAAACCCATGGGCAGCAACGGAGTTCAAGAACGCCTTTCGGGACGTTTTGTATTAGATTACAATGAAGTTAGTTGAAATGGTTGCACCATTTAACAACTCTCATTCACTCATGTGGTGTTAGATTGTCACATCAACAACAAAAGTCGGTCTGTGCACGACAGCACCAAGGAAGGAAATGCGAAGGACATAAGAAGCCATTGTGACAACGTGCAAGACTAACATCGAAAAAATAGCTTTAAATGTAATCTCTCTCGATCGAGATAAAACCAATGAGCAAAGTTCTAGGAATATATGAGAACGTTAATCTTATGGCAGAAAAAACATAAAAGATGAGGTCGTTCAAATGAAGAGCGATTATAAATTTTTGAAAACTTTTAAAGATAGTGACGAGGTGATTGTCAAGGATAGGCCTTAGGACGTGGGTGACAATATTACTTTGTACTTTTCGTATAAGATTTTGACTTGGTGTATGACTAGATAAATGCGAAGACGAAGTAAGAGTTAAATATGATATGAATTTATATCATGAACTATTGAGGAAAAAATAAAATAAAAATAGAAAGATGTAGAAAAAGGCAAGAAACAAATAAAGGAGACAAGTTCG